GAACTGGCCAGTCTATCTGCCTGCTCATTTCCCAACACACTGGCATCACCTGGAAAAAAATATCCACAGAACACTAACTACCAGGGACCTCTAAGAGATGCTTGTTCCTCTGCACAGAGCATGCCTGTCTCCACATTTCACAGCATGCTCTGTGAGTCAGTTACAATTACGGCATGTGTCTACAGCTGAATTACTAGTGCCATTGAAACTGAAACTCTGCGCTCGTTGCTGAAACGGTGCTTATCAAAATATGCCGATTAGATGTTCATTATTTATTAACACGAAAATACGTTGTTTTTAGTATGTAGCTTCTCAACCTTGAACTTCAGCGCGAGGAGAGAGAAATATTTCTCGGACAACACATCCGGTTGTAACGAATGACTTGTACATTTGTGAACTTGCACTTGGGTTTTCTGTTTGTTTGCAGGTTTATTTATCTTCCTACAACATATTAGCTATATTCACCACTTGCCTTTGGTTCTGCACACTGTATTTGTCAGCATGACATATAATTTGAATATTATTAATTAATACTTCTTACTTTTTATAGATATACGTGTTAGGCGTATTACGAAACTCGAAACGGGGTTAACAAACAATGTCAACAATAAAATAAAATAAAATTAGTAACTTAACTCTCTTTGAACCCCTACAGGTTTTATTATAAAATGTTATACCATGAGCAGTTATTTTTAACAAAATACAGGTCTGGAGCCAAAGATTTCACGTACAAGATGCGACGAAAACTGATGCAGTAATTTGAGTAATAAATGGGTTGGTAGAATTAGTGATTTAACTCTTTCAGGACAAACATTTTTTTTTCTGGGGATTGTAGAGCATTAATTTTGAGCGCAGTTTGTTTTAACTGCAACATTACAAAGCTAAAACTCTCCTGCAGAAAAAAGTATTGGCTGTATAGAGACATAAAATATATCAAATTAAAGAGAAATTAGTGCCGAATAAATCTGAACTATTTAGGTGTCAATATCATATGACAACAAAATATTAAAATTACACAACGTTCAAGGATGTTAGCCACATATGAGGATTATTTGGCCAAAAAATGTTGTGCTTAGCTTCCTTTTTACTTGTTGGCTTAGCTTCCTTTTTACTTGTTGAACAACACCGCTATTTGATTTTAAGAATTCACATGCCTTCTCTGTTCAGTTATGTGTCCGCTAGTCTTTATTTGAAACAATACATTTAAATACTTCAAATGTTAGGACCATTCTTGTATGACATGTCAGATTTCAAAACAACCGAAATTGGGAAAACAGCTGATCAAAACAGATAGTCTGATCTAAATATTCTGTTCAGTCTTCATCATAACCTAATGATTGGCTATTGGTTTGGTATATGGCATTATCAGTCATAATATCAAGACGACTATCACTATCTGGCTGATTAATCAATGACAGAGCAGTAGGAACAGTTCTAGACCTTTTCCCTTACCATTTGATATTGAAAAATCACATATAAAATTTTCACATCTGAATAATTTAAAACAAATCAGAAACTACTCCAATGACCACACCAGACTTCAGAAGCTAAAAGACTTTGTTTCGCTAATTCTAGTTTTTCAAAACATGGTCGTACAAATTCATTTTCCCAGCAAATGGAACAAAATTAGAGTGTCTCTATTAAAAGCCACTTGAATGGTGTTCCGTCTACATGAGACGGATATAAACGCCATTTAAATATTGTTCTGTCCTCAAAGAGTTAATGTAACATTTTGTTGGGGCATAAAGAGATGAGATAGAAAAAGGTGTCATGTAATAAATATTTCACAATTTCTTTATTTAAAAAAAAAAAAGCATATGACAAGTTGCTTGGTAATGGAGTCAAATTAGTCTTAGTTATTACTCAGGTTCAGAAACTTTCAATTAGTTTATACAGTTTATCAAATAAATATTTTCATTTGTGAGATCCATGTAAGATGTTTTTGTATTCTTAATTTAATAATCAGCTTTTCTAGATTTGTTAGTAAAACGTTGTATTTAAAAAACATATTTAGTATTAATGGCGTTGACTTGGTTTAGCAATTGTTAGAAAAATATTAAATTTTTTAACAATTATGAAAAATCTACTGGATTCGAGTTGATAAAATGAAATCTAGCAATACTGCATCTAATATCTGTGTAAGTTAAGGGCAGAGATATTTCCTATGGTCTCAGACACTACATCTGTGCTGCAATAAATCTGTTTCTATTATAAGAATTAATAATACAATTAATTGCCCTTTTATAAAGGTGAGCACTGTCTAAATAGCAGGAAAATGAACTCTTTACAAGCAAGATTTCCTGTATGGGCTCCATGATCCATTTTGGGGGAAAATAAAATAGACCCACTGCCCCCTTAACAATCATGTCATAAAAGACAACTAATTAGGAGTGTTTGCTTTGAAGTCATAGTGCATCTGCTTGAGAAGTGTGGAATGAAGTCTGCATACAAATAAGTCAGATTTGTAAAATTAATGTGCATGCAAAACTCATATTCTGGAACAAGACCAAAGTCCATAAGTGGATCATGAGCCAGAACTTTCTACCAGAGTTTAATGCCGATGAAGGTGAAGAAGGAGAAATAATATAAGATACAATTCTTGAGTAACATTGCCTTAGTGAAATTAAGTAACAATATCTTTCTTCTTCTACCATTTGTCCCCAATTAAAGCATTGGTGCTCAACCAGTTTGCGTCTGGTCTTTCTAACTTTGCCATTAGATGCAGTCACCCCATGTTCTACACAATTTTTTTAGCTCTCACTAATTCTCTGTGTGTTTTTTAGTCTCCCTTTGTTTCTTTGGCCTTGTAGCTTTCAGCGCTAGGACATTTCCAGTGCTGGGCATCTGTGGCTTAGGCGTTGTGAATGCACTTCATAACTGAGGTACACGGATCGATTCCAGTTTTGGGCGATTTGGCAACAGACTTCCTTGTGTTGATTTCAACAGGGGTATTGAGAGCTGACCATTCAGGAGCGGTGCAAATTATTGAATGTAAAATTGCCAGTAAATAGTACGTTAGTCCCTCCATTCTACACACCAGTAAACACTGATTGGTCGACCTTCAGCCTACCTCACTTCTAATTGGTCGACACCTCACCTTCACACAAGGGGTCGGGAGTGTTCCTCAATGCTGTTGATATCGCGTGTTCTGTATTTCACCATGCGAACACTTCTAACACTCCAAAAACATTTACAACTGGGTCTAATCCACAAAACCTTTCGAGAGTGACCAAACCTATGTCAGACGCAGTCTCTTTCTTAGAATAAAAACGTAAATGCAAGACAACAGACGCCACACCCATAACATTGACCACGGTAGACTAGTCTAAAAAATTAATCAATGGAATATGACCTACTTCCCGGGGGGAGACTAACGTTTGTTTAAATAAATAGCCTTGTAAAACTAAAACAGTCAACAAATGCTGGGATTGGTTTATGCAACATCCTTAAAAGTATATTCAGCTAACTAACTTTACTCGGTATGTGTCCAGTCAAGAGCTAGAATCATCTTTGATTCAGAGAAAGTTGGTTAGTTCTCTCCCATTATTCATTGTCAAACCATTTAATTCCACCTTTTCTGTATTTTCTTCTGCTGTTTGTCTTCAGTTGGATCATATGCTGTAATTGTAACCTTTATCATCACGTTGACCTCTCTCTGTGTCCTCACTGTCTTATTTTTTTAAGTCTGTAGTTTTCTTCTTCATGCATTTTGTTAAATCCTTTGTTTCTTCAGCCCTGTGGATTCCATTACAAGGATATTCTAATTGTTTATCAGGTTTACTCAGTGTGTCATATTCATCTCTGGTATCTTGTTCTCATGTTGATTGACCAGCATGTTTTTGTTTTTAATGCTTTCCTAAATATACTGCACTACTAGTATTTGTCCTCGTCCTCCTTCTCCTCCTTCTTCTTCTTCTTCTTCTTCTTCTTCTTCCTCTCCTCCTCCTTCTCCTCCTTCTCCTCCTGCTCCTTCTTCTTCTTCTTCTTCTTCCCCTTCTTCCTCCTTCTCTTTGCCCTTTATCCTCCCTAATGGAGCATAAATCCTTAACCAATTTTTGCCAGGTCATCAGATCTGTTGCTATCATATGCAGCTGATGGTACACATTGTTCTTTTCCTCAAATACGCCCATCCTTGCCAGATCCACTCCTAATTCTTTATTCACACATTCTTGCACATTTTATTTCATCTAATCTTGTGTCTTCTATCAACATTCATTCATATATGGCTTTCAGAATATCTCCTCTGTCCAGTACAAGTATTGCTGTAGTTATCACTTGTGTTTGCCAGTAAATCTGCTCTTTCATTCCCTCTTACTCCTGCATATCCTGGACATTATTTTCACGTGATTGCCTGCAGTGTTGGCATACTAATGCTTGGTGTCCACACACGTCACATTTGTCCATTTTGAACTTTCCGCAGTACCGACATAGAATCACACACAATTTACATAATGTGACATAGCCAACCTTAAGCTCAACCATTGCTAAATATATCTGGCAATAAATTGTGATTGACAAGGACAGTGCTTTCCGTGTTGTTTACCACACACCAAACAGGCGACTGCTGAGAGTGGCCAAAGCTTTAAGAATGAAAATCAACAACTCCCTCCTTTGTAAGTAAATTATAAGTTAAGAACCAACATTGTGGCATTTGTGACATTCCAATAAGCCCTCTGTTCCCATCTTCAGCAGAAAGTGCAGTTCCAGTTCATATGGCACCCAGTTGAGTCTTGCCTTTTCCTTGAATGTTGAGCATCAACCAGATCCCCTAGGGACTCCTAACTTTTTATTAACAGTAATGTGATGCATAGCAAGACAAAAACGTTGAATGTTCAAGCTTTTTTAAAAAAAAATCATCTATGATTTGTTTAGCTATAAACATGTTAGCTAAAAATAACTATTTGATGGTCTTATTAATCACTTTGTGGTGAAATCTAAAACATGATTACTGACAAACTTGACCTTATTTTATTCTTATTTCAGTATACATTTCATTCAAAATGTCTGTTGCTGCTCACTATGGAAGGATAATTCTGTACAATGTTCGAGGAAGATCAGGTACACTTGATTACTAAATTGGCAGTTGTTGCTAAATATTGGGGGGGGGGGGGGTGTGTCTTCAAATGAAAGCCTTACACGTTTGATAGCAATTGCAAAAACCATGCAATTTTCTTTTAACCTGTCAGTATTACTGTAAGGATGATTGTTAGATTGTTAAAAAGGATTGTTAAGCATGCAGCATCGGGGTGCAGATGAACATGGTGATGTTATAGTGACCGTTTAAAGAGGACAACTCCAATTTTGATATGCACCAAAGAGGAGCAGCGTTTTGTTATCCTTTTAAAAAAAAAATTTAGTGAAGGGGTTAAAACCGATATAAATTCATTGGTAAATGAAAGCAGAGTAGTTGTGTGTTAAAAGTCATCCCCAGGTGGGATACAATTTTTTTGTTATTTGAAGCCCCACCCTGGGTTCTGCTAGGGGCCCTGAATATGGCAGGACCAGAAATATGGCCTAACAGCTGCAAGAGGTTTCTGGAACCACCCCACAGGTGATCCTCATCCGCATGGTGACACAAAGTGTCACCAGATGTTTATTGCTGTGTGATGTCCTGGTGGGGTAAATTTACTTACTTACTGAAGGCCGAGTATGGTGGTGCATGCCTGTCAGTCCAGCTAGGGTATGAGAGTGGAGCAGGAAGTTTCAAAATGAAGTGACTTCTGTGACAGACATCATTACTGGGTCAGGTAACCAGAGGAGTGAACAGTGCGTGATAGCCAAGCGAAACCACAGCACAAGGTACTACTATTTGTGTGTGTGGTAAGAGCAAAGGCAGAAAAAGATGAAGCCTTTGGAGTATTAATCTAGGCAATTCATATAAGTATTATTAGCAGACCAATGAGGGGGGTGCACACAGTGAGAACATGTTGATTTCATGTTTAGAGAGAGAGAGGTTGGGGAGGGGGTACATTTGAAGGTTGCCAGCAAGGCAGGACGGGTATTCAGCCAGTGACTAGATATTGTGAGCTGAGTTGTTGTCCAGGCAGGACCAGTAGAACTGCTCGCATGTCTAGCGACAGAATGGCAGTTGTCTCTTTAGGAGGATATGATGAACAACATTTAAAGTAAGGGGGGGGGGGGGTGTGTTGAATTGCCCCTTATAAGGATTTTAAAATGGTCTTTTTTCATTTAATAGATAGACACGCATATGTCAATTGACAACTAAGTGGGATGCAAGTAGCAAGCTGTGATATTATATAGTAATAATTTGTATGTTACGAAGCCTACACAGAATTTGACTCAGCATGTGTGAGGAAACCAACCACCTTTTTTACAAAGCACATGCAGAAGAAGAATGAGAAGCCACAGTTTTATCAGGGATGTGTGTTTTTGTTAGAAGCATGAAAGGGCATGGGTGGGGGGGGGGGGGGGGGGGGGGGTTGTCAGGTTATGTACATGTGTTATTTTTACCAGCATGTTATTCACTGACCTAAAAAAACTGATCAATTGTGAATTGTGGGAGCCTGATCATATGAAATGTGAATTGTTGGAGCCTAATTATAGAAAGTGTGAATTGTGGGAGCCTGATCATATAAAGTGTGATGTGTTGGAGCCTGATCATATAAAGTGTGATGTGTTGGAGCCTGATGATATAAAGTGAGATGTGTTGGAGCCTGATCATATAAAATGTGAATTGTTGGAGCCTGATCATATGAAATGTGAATTGTTGGAGCCTAATTATATAAAATGTGAATTGTTGGAGCCTGATCATATGAAATGTGAATTGTTGGAGCCTCATTATAAAAAGTGTGAATTGTGGGAGCCTTATCATATAAAGTGTGATGTTTTGGAGCCTGATCATGTAAAGTGTGATGTTTTGGAGCCTGATCATGAAAAGTGTGATGTGTTGGAGCCTGATCATATGAAATATGAATTGTTGGAGCTTGATCATATGAAATGTGAATTGTTGAAGCTTGATTATATGAAATGTGAATTGTGGGAGCCTGATCATATAAAGTGTGATGTTTTGGAGCCTGATCATGTAAAGTGTGATGTGTTGGAGCCTGATCATGTAAAGTGTGATGTGTTGGAGCCTGATCATATAAAGTGTGATGTTTTGGAGCCTGATCATGTAAAGTGTGATGTGTTGGAGCCTGATCATATAAAGTGTGATGTGTTGGAGCCTGATCATGTAAAGTGTTATGCTTTGGAGCCTGATCATGAAAAGTGTTATGCTTTGGAGCCTGATCATGTAAAGTGTTATGCTTTGGAGCCTGATCATGTAAAGTGTGATGTGTTGGAGCCTGATCATGTAAAGTGTTATGCTTTGGAGCCTGATCATGTAAAGTGTTATGCTTTGGAGCCTGATCATGTAAAGTGTGATGTGTTGAAGCCTGATCATATAAAGTGTGATGTGTTGAAGCCTGATCATATAAAGTGTGATGTGTTGAAGCCTGATCATGTAAAGTGTGATGAGTTGGAGCCTGATCATATAAAGTGTCTTCTTCTTCTTCTTCTTCGATCCTTCTGTCAGAAAACTTATATCAGGAGGCCAGTAGCCTTTATGAAAGCTATCGTGCAATCCATATCCTCTTGTGTACCATACAGTTTTGTCTTCATTGTGGTTGGAACAGGCCAGATTGCGTCTCTGTTGTCAGCATACAGTTGACAGTGTTGGAGCACATGCTCAGCATTTTCGGGTGCCACGCTGAAGGGACACGTCTCCGTATTTCCTACACCGAAAAATTTGAACATATGTTGACGAAATCTGTTGTGCCCTGTCCTTAGTCTGAATATAATAGACTGTCCCTCTCTAGAGAGGCGATGAAGTGAGTCTTGGGGAGAAAATCTGGTGTGGGTATCCAGCCACCTTTCTTGGATACTAGATTGTATTAGTGTTTTCATCTCTTGGTGGATTAAGTCGCTATTTGGTTGTACCATGTCACTGCCGCTTCTGGCCAATCTGTCCGCTATTTCATTGCCTTCCAAGCCACAGTGACCTGGAATCCACTGCAGTACAGTTTGTTCTACTGAAGAGCCTAAGTAAATCAGCTGTTGTGTCAAGTCTACAAACTGAGTGTCTTTTGGGTTAACAATTGCTTGTAGAACTGACATAGCATCAGTCAGAAAGACCACTCTGCTATATTTGCTGTGCTGTTGTCCATTCAGGAAAGAACATGCTGCTAGAAGTTCTTCTGCCTCTGCTCTGTAATTGGAGGAATATGAACCTGTTGGTACAGCCTGGTTGATTTTTAAACCATTTGGGCATTCTATGTATATTCCTCCTCCTCCGTCTCTTACTGCTCTCTTGGCTGAACCATCTGTATACACTCGAATCCAACTCTGGTGTGGGTAAAGTCTATTGATCTCTCCTTCTGTAGTTGATTTCATATCAGTGCTGCTCATTGATGATTTGGAGGAGACCCCTGTTACAGTGGTTCTGACTGTTGGTAGGGCTATCCCTAAGCCAAAGCGGGGCAGTCGTTTGTAAGGTTTAAGTGGAACATTTGGTATTATGGGAGGGAGTTTAAGGACAGCGAGCTTGGCATTTGCGTTCTTAATAAAGCAAGTTCTCTTTAGTCTAGCCTTCTGGGGTTTCTGTAGTCGGCTGTACATGGGTTGTTCTTGAAAGTGGTGGTATTTGGAGAGCTGGGTGAGGATCTTTGTGTCTCTCCTATCTTCCAGATTATGGAGACCAGTAATTGTTTCCATATCTGATATGGGCGTGGAGCGCATTGCCCCTGTGATAATACGGAGAGCATGGTTTTGGATCTTTGAGACTTTCTGAAAATTTGATTTAGCTGCTGTGCCCCAAGCAGCTATTCCATATTCTAGTGTTGGCCTCACATAGCCTGTATAGGTCCTCTTAAGGACATTGAGGTTTGCCCCCCAGTCTGTTCCAGCTAACTTCCTCATCAGTTGTGTTCTCTTGAGTCCCTTATAAAGTGTGATGTGTTGGAGCCACATTAGTATAGTGGGTAATGCACTTGCCTGCCAAGATGGGTTCTGCCTGAGAAACAGTTGTGCTTGAAATGAACTCAGCCTCATATAGTGTGGCTGCCACACTATATTTCAGGGAATAGTCTGAAATACAAAGGAGTTCCAGATGTGAATTCCAGGGCTCTATTTTTGAGAACAAAGAGAAGACCCACTGCTCCGTTAACCAGCATGTTGCCGCAGGCGACTAATCAGGGGTGTTTTCTTCAAATTCAGAATGTATCTGCCTGAGATGGAAAGGAACCATCAGTCTGCATACAGATAAGCCAGATCTGAAAAATAGTTGTGCATGCAAAACTTAATTTCTGGATCAATACCCAAGTCCCGGAGTAAATGAACAACCAGAACTTTCCACTAGTGTTTACAGCTGATGAGCACAAAAAAGAAGAAGAAAGGGGCAGAGGAGGGGAATTGACCACTCAACCTTGAATGTCCTAACCTAGAATATTCGAAAGTCTAACACTTCACACTCCCTAATTTCTGGGATCTGCTGCTATGACATTTAAAGCAGCATATTTCTTGTACGGTTATATTGTAAATTGTTTCCTATAGTAGTTTTACTCTTATTTTAGGCAGTAGTGTTCGCCAGCTAAGGCTGAGATGGTTGGCTCACAAGGAATCAGTGGTCAGTCAAGCCCCGTCAGTTTTGGTGCTGACACGGTTTACTTCGAGCAGCAGCAGCAATGGAGATGACGTCACAGGCAATGATGACAAGTCAAAGAGTCCCACAGCTGGCAGTAAAGCAGGAGGTGACAAAGGGAAATCTGGCAAGAAAGGATCCAATCAGCTGTGTTGTCCCAAATGTGGAGACCCATGTACCCATGTGGAAACCTTTGTGTGTAAGTTAATTTTCCAGTTTGACTGTCCATAAAAGGAGATGGCATCTTTATAGTTTTCCAGATTTCATCATCACCCTTGTTTAGCATGATCTACATGTAGAATGTCATTTTCTAGCACAGCCTGCTGGGAAACATATTTTCAATCCTTCATCAATTCTCTGCCCAATGTTATTTTCGTGCACTTTGTGTCTTTAATTTTATGTGCCCACTTTCATATTGGTCAGCCCCTGCTTGTTTTCTAGGAACTTTGCTTTCCACTACTGTTCTAAGCCACTTTCACCAGTAAAAGAGGATAGTGGCACTTACTAAGCAAATATTTTAAGTATAAGCATGTAGATAACTGCTGCTTCCAGAGTATCAGCATGGGCAGCTGAACAACCATTCACACGTGTATTAATCATATAAGACTCTGTGAACATGCTTCAGAAAATTACAGCAGGCAATATACACTCTGAAAGGGTAGAAAGCTTTCTGAAAATGCACCTAACCTCCCTCACCTGGAACTTCACACCTGACCATACCAGCATGAAAGGTAATAAACAAGCAGACCATCTGGCAAGCAGTATACCAACACATGTGGGAAGAAACATGGACAAAGCAGATATGATCAGCACTGTATGGACTCGGTTAGTGGATAATGACGAATCTCTGGCACTAACATGATTGCGTAACACGGGAGTAAAGCATGGTGAAGCACGTCTATGCCGTCTTCAGGACCATGTTCTTGGGAACAATCACTAGAGGTATCTGGAGTAGCTGCTGCATCAGACGACTGAGCATGGATGTTGATGTGGCAAGCCACTTTCATTTTGGTTGACCTCTGCCTCTTTCCTAGGAACTTTGCTTCAGTTATTTTACTGTTCTATCAAAACCACTGTGATATCTGAAATGAGCAAAGTTTGTCAGTTTCTATGATGTGATATTTAGGAGTCAGTTTTCTTTAATGTACAGATAGTATTTTCTTAAACACTTTCATTAAATTTTATAGCACAGTAATTGTGTTTAATCCATTAAATAAGTCTTTTTGATGTGTTGTCCAGAATAATTTGACTATTTAAAAACAAAAAAAGCAGTTAGGTAATCACATGTCAGACATGACCTTATTGGGTGTGAAATGTCAGTCCTGCATGTGCACATCATCATCATCATGCTTGTTGGCAGTCATGGCTGGCCACTTCTCACATTCATCATTTTCAAATCAAAGCTTTCTTGTCCTGACTTTGCCATTCACAAGGCAATCCGTGTATTGATCTCTTTACTTTTTCTTGCTCTTTTTCTGTCAAATCTTTCAAGTATTTTTCTCCCCTAAAATTCTTGAATATTGCCTCATGAATCTTTCTTACCTTTTAAATGTACTAGTCACAGCATAATGGCAGCTGGTTTTTATTCTTTCTTTCAGTTTTATTGGCTAAAATTGTGACAGCTACAGGAATGCTCCTACTGGACAAAGGAGACATTCTGAAGACCATTTATGACTGATTGCTGAGAGAAGACATAAGGCTAGATGAAATAACTTGTGTAAGAATGTGTGAACGAGGATTTAAGAATGGATCCAGCAAGGAGGGATGTATGAGAGGAAGTGAACTATGAGTGTATGATCAGGAAGCTATGGGAATATTTAGCGTCTACACCAGAAGACATTTGCTGCGAAAGACAGAGCGTCTATGGGCATGATCAGTGTGCTGTGATGTCGGTTTTAAAATTAGTAATCATTAAAAGAACCTGACCAGATGTTAGGCTAAGTAAGTTTTCTGTCAACTGCGTGTTACTAGGACTGATCACAGAAGGAAATTAAAGGACAGCTGTAAACCTGCTACCATATCATGCAAGGCACCTAAGAAAGGTTTTTCTTGAGACTGACTGCCTTATCCCATAGAAAACTTCAGCTGCAAAATCCTTCCAGCCTCGAAGATATCCACAGTGGCCTTGGCATCAGGGGGTTTAATTCTTTCAGTACCAAACAACAAATCATATGTTTCTTGGTCATTTTAAAGATTATATAATGTTTTTGCTGTCTTCTGTCACTGACATTCGTTGTTTATTAACCCTTTATTTCTGAATGATTGGTTTAACCGCTTCTCTACCATAGTGTCTTTATTGAACTCCTTTATCCCCATGTGATTTTTGGGGCCCCTTTATGGATAAAACAAGAATAGACCCACTGCCACTCCAGTAAGTATGTTGTTGTAAGAGTTGACTAATAGGGAGCTTCATTAAAAGTTGGAGTGCATCTGCCTGAGTAGCAAGGAACAATCAACTGCATGCAAATAGGCCAGTGAAATGTAAGTACAAGCAAAACTCATGCACAAAACCAAAGTCCAAATGGATTAACGGCTAGGACTTTCTGCCAGAATTTACAGCCGGTGAACAGAAGACGACGAAGAATAAGAACTCCTTTAAACCTAAATATGTATTGCTTTTTAGTGCAACTCCTTGGTATTTAATGAGTTAAGTAATGACTCCTTAGTACTGAAAGAGTTGAGGCATATACTTCATTGGGAGATGAAAGCCAGTTGTGTTTTGTTAGGCATGTGACTTTTAAATTTGATTTTTACTGAATCATAATTGATAGAGATTTTTAAAATAAAAATTTAGGAAGTTTCTTTTTTATCCTTAGCATCAACACGATTTGTGAAATGTGAGAAATGTCATCACTTCTTTGTGGTTTTGTCTGAAACTGACTCAAAGAAGAGCTTCAAGGAGTTTCGAGAAGAAAAGTTTGTTCAGAAAAAGATATCACCACCACCACCAAGGAAGGTATTGTGAGATAAGATAATGTTTGCTTTTCTATGTAGGAGCTGCAAAAGCCTTCTAATAACAACAAAAACGGTGTAAGAGTAAAGACCTGATTGATCTGAGATAATGTGTAATGAAGAACAATAATCTTATTTAGTCGATCCTCTTCTACCCTGGGGTGTAGAGGTTTGCCAGACTTCTCTGTCATGTTTTCTTTTTGGCTTTGTTCTATTCCCATCATAAGCAATAACCATTCAGACTTAACACTTATTAGCAAGGCATTTGATAATAATATGGCTCTTTGTTTGACATTACTTCTGAAATGGAAACGAAAATATTCTGGTTGGTGGGAAGTTGACCGCAGCACCCACCAAATGCTGTTTTATTATGCAAATGTGGATTTGGGACTGGCTTTCTCCTTTATTAACTGACGCCTGAGCAAAATAAAAGGAATTAAGTGGTGTAACAGGATCACTGATTCTGAGCTTAGGGGAAGAACTACAGTTTTAGTGACTTGAAAGGTGAGGAAAAGATGCTAGAGCTGGACAGGACACATATTGGGAAAATTTGTTTATAATCTAGGTAGAATGTCTTAACACTCTAGTCCCAGAGGCAGAAGACAACAGAGAGACTTAAAAAATATATGGAATAGAGTATACAAATCAGATAATTAACATGGGGAGGACATGTCAGCTGCAGTAGATGAGAGTTTGGTGGGAGTTTGTTGAGGGCCTATACTCCAAAGGAGGGAAAAGAGGAGCAGAATGAGACCGTGTGTTCACCATGTGGGTTATGGGACCCCATTTTGGGGTAAAAAGAAATAGACACCCTGTTTCCCTAACAAACATGTCATGAAAGGTAACTAATTAGGGTGCATCTGCCAGAGAGGTGAGAATCCAACAGTCAGAAAACAAATAAGCCAGATCTGTAAAAGGAATGAAACAAATAAGCCAGATCTGTAAAAGGAATGTGTATTTAACAGTCAAGTCCAGAAGTGGACGAATAACCAGATTTTCCACCAGAGTTTACAGCCATTGACCTTGAAGAAGAAGACGACCGTGTCTCCATTATACCATAATGCTATGGAAACTGATATCGCTGTTTATTTTTTTGTTGTTCTTGTTTTTGTATGCACAGAAAGAAAATGTTATGTCCTTCATATTTAGCAGACTTGTGGGTTTGGTCTACAGTTTTCTATCTCTTGTGCTACTTATTATTTCTATATAGATATTCCTTGACGTCATAATTTCAAACCTGCCAGCATTTTCTCTCTCAGCCTTCCTAACTCCCTAACTCTCTTTCTTCCAACTTTTCAGTTGTCATGATGTTCTCAACTTTTCTGCTTCTCAAGACATGCTTAAAAAAATTTGGACTAAATTGCTCTGATGCAAGTAATCAGTTCTCTTGTGATATAGTTTTTTTCAAGGCATTGATGATTAAAAAAAAATTTAAAAAATTATCATGCCAATGACACATTAGTTATATAGTGCTAGATCTACATAGACTCTTAGGCACTTGATGGATGATGTGGTCAACATCATGCTGGCCACTTTTACTTTCCAGGATATTTCCTGGTACCAATTTTAGGCTGGATTAATCTGGGAGAAGAGACCAATTCAGTGGCGATTGTTACAGCATAAATGACCTATGTTAATTATACAGCTACATTATTTACAGATAAAGCCGACCCATTTTCTACTTTGTTACTTTCCCCCCAGATTTATGAATTTTTAGACCGTTACGTTGTCGGCCAAGACCATGCCAAAAAAGTGCTGTCTGTTGCGGTCTACAACCACTACAAGAGAATCTATCATAACCTTCCAGCTTCAGGCAGCAATGGTGGCCAGAAACAGGCTGAAGCTCCTGTCTCGCAGACAGGCCAGCATTATCCTCATACGTTTTCACCAAGAGGTAGCCATGATGTTTGTTATTTGTGCTTGCTTTTAGTAATAATTTGGCTGTGAATAATTTTATAATGAGAATTTTAAGCCAATTTTTCAGTCGTTGAAGTATAAAGATTTGTAGATTGTTGCACTTTTAACGGTTTGTCTCTCACTATCTACCTGTCGGTCCGTCCATCCATCCATCCATCCGTCCATCCATCCATCCATCCATCCATCCATCCATCCATCCATCCATCTATTTATCTACACATTGTTGACCCACTCTGGGAAGCAATTCTTTATTATTTTGAAGCCCATCTGTTGCCATGGGCCCTATATAACCTATCGTTTGAACAGGGTTTCTCTGACTTGTGCCCGGGAAATTCTTATCTGAATGGTAGTATTTTATGTTACTGGGGGTTAATCCCTTTTGTGCTGCCCTGGAGCAGTTTTATGCAGTCAGTCAGTCTCTTTGGCCCCCTCCTCCCTCTCCTTTGTCTCTCCCTCATTCCTCCCTTCCTCCCTTTGCAATCTTTCATACCATTAGAATATAAACATAATTCTATATTAATTTTTAGAAGAGAAATAAAATTGAATGTTTTTACTGTTTTAAATATTGGGGAAAAGGAACATGAAGAAATGTTGATGGAAAGGATACCCTAGCTTCATGAGCAAATGAGTAACCTGGAGAATATGATTACAAGTTGTTGAGATTAATAGGGGTAAAAGTGATAGTCGGAAAATGACATACAAGACAAACGAAGTCCTAAACTAAATAAAATAACTAGTGACAGATTGCAACTACACGCCTGTAAATGACTAACACTTTAGATAGAAACTAAGGGCTGTTGAGATATGGTTTCTTCATTTAAATTATGTGAAGAAGCCATATCTCTGCAGCCAAGGATCTTTATCTAATCTTAACATTAAAATAATGCTAAAATTAGATAAAAACTAAATGCTGCAAACATACAGTTTCTTCGTAGAATGCTAAGATTGGATACAAATTAAAGACCGCTGAGGTACGATTTCTTCATTGAATGTTAAGATTAGATACCAGCTAACTCTGCTGAGGTATGGTTTTTCTATTGAATGTTTAGAGACCAACTAAAGACCGCTGAGGTATGTATCTTCATTGAATGCTAAGATTATATACCAGCTGAAGGTCACTGAAGTATGGTTTCTCCGTTGAATGCAAAGATTAGATACCAACTAAAGGTCATTGAGGGATGGTTTCTACATTGAATGCCAAGATTAGATCCCAACTAAAGGTCCCTGAGGTATGGTTTCTGCCTTAAATGCTAAAATTAGATGCCAACTAAAGGTCACTGAGGTATGGTTTCTGCATTGATTGCTAAGATTAGATACCAACTAAAGGTCACTGAGGTATGTTTTCTGCATTGATTGCTAAGATTAGATACCAACTAATGGTCACTGAGGTATGGTTTCTGCATTGAACACTAAGGTTAGATGCCAACTAAAGCCAGCTGAGGTATAGTTTCTTCATTGAGTGCTACAAATGGTAGCATAAGCCAGTATCCATGTTCTTTAGCTGACATTTTCACAAAGACAAATTATTACCTTTACAAGATAACAAAAATAATTAATCCTGATCACGTTTTGAGAAGAAAAGGTATGGCTAACATGCTGACATTTGGAAAGATTGACAGTTTTAGAGTAAAACCCATCAAAAGGATAAAATACTGGATGGTGCCAGAGTGGCATGGGAAACATCATGTGGTTCTAGATGAATATGAGAGCCCACTCATGATGACTCTAGTGATGTCTGAGCCAGGGGAGTTTCTGATTGAAGCTCCGCAATTTGTGGAGATTTGTAAGTTGCCACATTTATTTGTTGTCATTCATCATCATCATCAAATGCATTGTCAGTGGGCACAGGCAGTCGTGCTCCTCCATAGATTGCAGTCTGCAGCAGCATGTACCAGTTCATATGCTGACACCTTTTCATAACAAAGGAACTTCTAGAATCTTCTGTTGCTAATTTCACAAATGTTCTCTTGTTTCTTCATTTATCCCACTTTCTGTAAATCTCTACAGTTGTTGCATCTTTTCTGGGTATTTAAAAAAAAAAAAACTTTTCATAATGTGGCCAAATGATGTTCTATCATCATATGTTGTAATTAAATATGTAACATGTGCGTAAACATGTTTTCTGTAGACATGCTACAAATTGCAGTAACTGGACCGCTAGGCCCAGGCATTAGCAGTCAGCAGTCACAGGCAAATGGCCCAGGGGATGAGTCTCCCAGGAAGTCAGATGTGCTGGAATCTGGTGCCAATGAGCTGCAGCTGGAGAAGAGCAACATCCTCATGCTGGGACCTACAGGATCAGGTCAGTATTTAAAAAATAATAATCCCAATATAGATTCTGGGACCCCCATTTTTATTGGAAGAACAGAAAGCGGACTCACGTCCTTCCTAAGAAGCATGTCCTAAAAGGTGATTTATTATGGGTTTGCTGAAAGGCATAGGTGTTGCAGCCTAGCTGTAGACCACACACATCATGTCAGCAGCCCTATTAAGAGTGAACACAGAAAGTTAAGAAGTTTCAGCTCTCCTTCGAACTTTGTCCCCATATTATGGCGGCCAAACAAATACCCTATCAGAGCCTCAGTCGTGTGTAAAATGAGGAGTGCCTGCAGAGGAACAAATCCCGGCCAAACTAGGATCGCCTCCCAATAAAGGGCCAGTATTATTGAGGGCAAACAAATTCTCTAACAGGGTCTCGGCGATATGTTAATTGCGGACCTGTTTCTGCGACTATGCCGCACCGCTGACGTATCTCCCACACCACAACGTGTGGCGCGGATTAGGGGCTAAACTAGATGGCTGGGACTTACCAGCAAATACATTGGAGAAAGTTGTAGGAGATGCGGTAGCTGCTGCTCGTGAGTCCCAGCCATCTAGTTTAGCCCCCAATCCATGCCACGCGTAGCGGCGCTGGAGATACACTCCGTGGTGAGTTTAATCGGAAGAACGGTAACGCTTACCTGCATCAGAGCGCGTGGTCTTCACACCATGTCGCTATTGTCATGTGTATTGTGTTCGTCGGAGGAAGTCTGCATTTTACACACGACTGAGGCCCTGTTAAGGTATTTGTTTGGCCGCCATAATGTGGGGATGAAGTTCGAAGGAGAGCCGAAGTTTCTTTATAAGGTGAAAAGGCTGTTATAATATGTAGCTGCCTGTCGAATGGCAGTTTCGTCACGCACCTTTACTTCCGGATTACTTTCCAATAATCCCCAGGTGCTCTGAGACAGGGGTGTTCTGCATGGTGGCTCTCGTTTGTCTAGAGGCCTAGCCCTCGGTTCAAACTTCCATTCAGCCTATCTCAGGATTGAGGTGACACGAGCTTTGACTCCTGAGGGTTAATACAAACTCTTGGGTACTTCTCGGTCAGACCTCCTCATGACTAATTTTACCCCCAGACTGGTAAACAACGTTAACTCAGTCAAATATATAAACAACAATGAGTCTGACAAGACATGAATACACTTATGATAGTGACAAATGATTCCAACGTGACAACTTTTCAAGAATAAGAAACCTTGTGAACAAGAAACATTATGTAATAATTTCACTGATATAAAGTAAGACGAAATGTGAAACACAGAGAACCAGAATGATCTTTTAAGTCTTCGAGGAATTGAGACTAGAGAATAGATCTCCTATGTTGCCTCAGCCATTTCCTGACTCATCATTGTTAGGAGAGTAGAGACAGATTACGAGAGCACGTCTTGATTCTGGCTGCCAAAATGTTCCTTAGCTTTAACGACTTATTCGCTCCGGATCCCGCAGCTCCTCAGGGTGCCGAATAGAGGGTCTCTATAACGTCTCGTTTCTCTAGGCGTCTCCGGACAATGATGATTCTCCCCAGGGATCGATCGAAAGACAACCAATCCTTCCTGGAGTCGTGTTGACGTCGGCTTCACACATAGCCTGGCATAGCAGACAATGACAGGTCAATACGAGTAGGTTTCTCCCCAGTTGCCAATTAGCTGGAGAGCTGGGCTACCACATGGATACATGCTGGATCCTCAAACATCCTTCAAACAGCAAGGCAACACACATAAGCAAACCTTACCTAACGTACTCCGCTAATCACATTTCTCCCACTAGTCTACCCCAAGAAGGTTGACTTTATACATCTCGGAACCCCTACAGTTTCTCAGAGTGAGCACCAGAGTCAGACCGACGTTTCTATTAACTCCAACAGTTTCTGAATCCTGTTTCATAGCGAAAGCCAGTCATATCTCTATCAGTCCCCATCCATCCATATATACCCTCTTCACCAGTAGGAAAGATAAAGTAGAGGAGATGGATACAAAAACAAGATAGAAGAATAGACTCCAAGAGCATTTCCAAAGGCTGAGCTTGTGGTTACAGTAGCTCCTAGTAACAGCGGATGTGACGTCATGCTTTCCTAGGATAGCGCTGCCCGTTTTCAACGGTTAACCAACTCATCAAGTTCAGAGACCAATTAAAAGATCATATCATATCATTCAAGTTTATCAAGACATTAATTACACTCCAGACAGGTGGATTGATTGATCCGAATAGGTTTAGAACGTAGGCTAGAAGAAGTCACGAAGAAATTTCAGCTGAAAGTGCATTCCTACCAGCATGGCTATCTATCGTCTTTCGCCGCAGGCGATCGTAGACAAGTAGATTTTCATTATCATTCTGCTTACCTTTTCTCGCAAACACATACAGGCACTGAGCACAAATATTATATATATATATATATATATATATATATATATATATATATATATATATAATATATATATATATATATATATATTATATATATATATATATATATTATATATATATATATATATATATATATATATATATATATATATATCCCTTTTAGGAAAACTCGCCCATGCAAACGAATGTTTTCAAAGAAAACGATTTACGATAAAGTGGCCGGAGTGCCAAGACACAACCGATCACTAGAACGGACTATGTAAAAGTGACTACGACAGTTGGGGCGATGATATCGCTCAAGCACTCAGTGAAGCGGTCAAACTATTTAGCCTGAACAGGTGCAAAAAAACGTGTCCTATCAAACATAGTGACACCATACGCCAAGAAGAATCAATCCAGGAGCGATTTATATAGGTTTCTCACAGCTGGACTCCCCAACAACAAACGAACTATATATCTACGGACAGACTATCCGAGATCATAGATACACCAATTAATATGGGGGTATCCAGACTGTGGGCCAGTCTATTGTGGTAGGGGAGTTGATGGTGTTATGTGACATTGCCATTGCTGGAGTTTTCCAGAGTTTGAAAGGCTGAGTTAAATACTGATTGCCCTGTTTGTTTTTGTGACTGGCTTCTGTTGTTTTTACCTCAAGTAGGTAACCTGTTTCACAAACTGGTAGTATGGTTGATTGGCTGTGGTTTCCTTTTCAGGGAATTCATTGTTAATCGGTGTAGGTCTGACACGCAGCTGTTTCCTGTGGTTCCTGGTAGCTGTCAGCCTGTGACAGAAGCCACCTCCTGCACAAAAGTAGCCAACCCATAGCAATTAATTGCTTAACCTCAGTGGTGCAAATGAGGATCCAAATGTGCCACTTTCAGAACCACATATGATAAAATGTGTCTTATGTATCCATGTTTTGTTATGTGAAATTTAGCTGGATAAAAGTTCATTCGGTCTATTCTTTTGATGTGGTGGTAAATACATGTTGCAAATGTAGGGGCACAAAAGAGAGAGAAATACATTTTCAGATGTTATTTACATGTCTTTTTTAATGAAGACATTTCTAATGAATATCTTTTATACATTTTTTCCTACCTGTTACTGTGTTTGCTATCGTGTTTATTGAAATTAAATGTATAAATTGACTTGCAGACATTTCATTTTTCTTTTTTTTTTCTCTTTAACAAGGCAAGACCCTCCTTGCGCAGACACTGGCCAGATGCCTGGATGTTCCATTTGCCATCTGTGACTGCACAACTCTCACACAGGCTGGGTACGTGGGGGAAGATATTGAGAGTGTTATAGCCAAGCTTCTGCAGGATGCCAACTACAACATAGAAAAGGCTCAACAAGGTATGGATTAGATTCCTGATTGTTTGCGAATCCTGTGGAAGGATTATTGTTATGTGTTTAGTCTGATGCATTGATGTTTAGGTCATCCTATCCCTGAAAAGGGCTTGCATTTATCAGAGTGATGTTGGTTTTTCAAGCTCAGAAATCAATGGGTTATGAAAGACGTGCTAGGACTTCACACAAGCAGGAAGGCAATAAATATTAGGTTTTACACACATGGAGGATGGTAGAGTACCTAGGGACATTCTTTGTGGTGAATTACTGATCAGTAGAAGATGTTGAGTTTGGCCTCTACTACGATACCATATATAAAGAATTGTGCAAATAGGACATGAGGGATACATGTATTGAGATTATTCAGGGGAACAGGGTGCTATGGACCATATTGCATGGTGGGGGAAAATCAGGAAAAGAGAATAGGAATAAAGGAGAAAATAATTGCATGTACGTTAAGAGCTGAGGGTCTGAGAAAAGGCACATTAAATGCATGTGATGGCAACATTGTTTTGGAAATCCTGTGCTCTGATTGTGGAAGGCTTTTCTTAAACCAAGTGGGTCTTGCTAAAAACATTTATCGTCGCAATGGGTTGTGATTCCCATGCCCCTGTATAGCTCATTATGATGCTGTTGTCTGGAAGGACAAATAGTGGCTAACAACAAAGACGATGTCATGATTTATCACTGCCCTTACAAACTGATTAGGATTAGGCCCAGGTTGGTAATGTTTCCTTCACATATTGTTAAAGGATTTCACTCCAGTGCCCCAGAGAGAGAGCTTGTTAGATATATTTATACCTTGTGTCCATTGTTACAGAGTTCAGCCAGTTTATTTCATGTTTTATATGTAGAATATATTCAGAGTTCATCTTTCTGCACTGATTACTGGATTAATGAAGATGTCTTTTATTCTTTCAAGTGAGGTTCACCATTGTAGACCAGTGTAAATAAAAATGAAAGTTCAAAGTAAAGGACCTTTTTCCCTGCCTCCAGGTATATTGAGCATATAGGGCTAGACCTAAATTTTATTGACCAATCGACACTCAGTGGGTGATGTGGTCAAATCAAACCGTCCACCTCCACTTCCCAGGACTATACCTGGTACCCACTCAAGGCTAGGTCAACCTGGGAGCCAATGTCATTTTTTTTAAATAAAAAGTCCGGCTCCACCATGACCCACATCCATGACCTTCTGATCCACAGGTGAGCGGTAGATCTGTGTACCAGGTTATTATTTATCAGGCTTGTGGTTTTCTTTACATCCAGTTTAAAGAGGCATTTCCTTTCTCTTGTCTTTGACTTCCCTGTGTGCAGTTGCAGGGTTTAGATATTCTTTAACATATGTCTTAGCTTTTGGCTTGTCTAGCCTATTTTACTTACACTAGCTATGCCAACACTATTATTACTCTTAGAGTAATTGGATAGAAAGGAGCCTCACGTGGTAATGATTGCTTTTTTTGGTATGTTTTTTAATAGGGGCTATTTAATTTCTGTCTACAGTCTCCATTTTTTTCATTTTTCTTTATCTTCTGCCCTTTATCCCCCCAAACATAGCATAAGCACTTAATCAGTTCATGCCAAGTCATCCTATCCTTTTTTGTTTAAATCGCATACAGCTCACCTCATGTGCACCTCCTAGTCTTTCTTAACTTCACTATCTAGCTCTCTTCTATATATATTATATATATATATATATATATATATATATATATATATAATATATATATATATATATATATATATATATATATATATATATATATATAATATATATATATATATATATATATATATATATATATATATATATAATATATATATATATATATATATATATATATATATATATATATATATATATATTTTTTTTTTTTTGTCCTACCAAATTTTAACGTTCCGGAACTTTTCCTAGATTAAAGGAGGTGTATCAGTGATACAGACTCTTTTCAGCTTTCTCTGCACCGCTTTATCATACTTCTGTTTAGAGGCCCCCCCCCCCCCACCCATTTTACTTTTTACACTTTTAGAATTGTCAGTCGTCAGTTGGTTTTTGAGTCATCAGCATTTTACAGGATGAGGTAGCCAACCCCATGCCCATCCCTACCTTTGCTCATCACTTACGACATATCTGGTACCAGTTGTTGATTTGTATGCAATAATGATGTCTGATCTTTATTCTGAGGATCTTTGTCATGGAATCTTTCTCTTAAACTGAATCTTATTTTGTTAGATTATATTACAACACACACACGCACGCACCCACCCACACACACGCACGCCGCGCGCACACACACGCACGCCGCGTGCGCGCACACACACACAGACAGAGAGACAGACAGACAAAATACAAGTTTGTAACAAATGCGTTAAAATGCAGAACTTCTTAAACAGACACTGCGGTTAAAGATGGCATGTTGGCTTCCCATTGCTGTTAATACCAAAACTTTTTTTTAGTTATCTCGCAGCTTAATATTCACCCATATGAAATCTAATGTAATCCATTGATGCTAAATGATCAGCAGTTTTTCCATTGTAACTTTCATGAAGGCTTCTATTTAATCATTGGCCAGTTTTTGAGTATTGATAATAAACTACCATGAAAGACATATGGTTTTCTTCCTCTTGTAAGCGTTCACCAACTGTAAACTCGGCAGAAAGTTTGTGTTTTTCATGCAATTTTGGACTTTGTTATTGTTCAAGAAACTTGAGGTTTGCATGCATGTCTGTTTTTCAGACTTGGCTTATTTGTAACCAGGCAGTTAATTCCTTCCCTCTCAGGCAGAGGCACTCTGTCTTCTAAGCAAACATTTATAATCAGTCACTTTTTACGACATGCTTGTAAAGGGGCAGTAAGTCTTCCCCCCCCCCCCCTCCCCATACACACAATAATGGGGTCCCGGAACCTACACAGGGGAGGAAGACATATTTAACAAAAGAGTGACCGAGAGCCTGGGATGGACTCAGAACAAGGTTAATAATAAGTCTGCAACGGTTTCGGATGTCAGTGACCGAGGTAGTCAAAGAAGCAAGAATGAGAACTTTATAACTCCTGGATGAGGCACGGTTAAAGTTGGAAGGTTGAAGTCGAGAGGATCTATTTAATTGCACTGGATTTTATCCCATCTGGCTCAGTTTTCCTCCACAGAATTGGTAGCCACCTGCCAAGAGCATCGCACGAAGCATGAACTCCATAGCTCCGTGACAGTCCCTAGGGATTTCCCTAAAAAGTGCACCCCTGAACTGAACGGTGCAGCTGTGAAACAAACCCACAGCCTTCAGAGCGCAAGGCAATTGGCTTGACCGCTTCACCAGGAAGACAGAGTGGTAAAAGAGAAAGTGAAGAAGAGGAAGATAATCAGCTGTTAATTTTTACATTTTGTTCAGTTGTACAATTTAAAAAAAAATCTTTGCTTAATTAGAAGTTACATTCTTGTTTGCAGTATTAATAATATATACGTGTGCATTTCACAACAGGTATTGTGTTCCTGGATGAGGTGGACAAAATTGGCTCAGTACCTGGCATTCATCAACTTCGAGATGTGGGAGGTGAGGGGGTGCAGCAGGGCATGCTGAAAATGTTGGAGGGAACCATCGTTAATGTGCCAGAGAGAAACTCCCGTAAACTTCGAGGGGAAACCGTGCAGGTTGACACGACCAATATTCTCTTTGTGGCATCCGGGGCTTTCAATGGACTTGATCGTATCATCAGCCGCAGAAAAAATGAGAAAGTATGTTCTTGTTTGCCTGTGTGAAGCTGTTTTTTGTATACGAATACATATAGACAACCATCATCATGTAGCAGGTCCTTTGCAGAATGTTGCTCTCATCACAGTCTGCCTGAAAGAAACTCGGTCTCTCGCCAGTTCTCCCGCCTCATGTACTTTCATACTCAAGGAGTCACTTATATTCTGTGCCCATCGTGTCGGTTGGCCCCTGCCCTCCTTCCTGGTACCATGCCTTCTGCTATAATTTTTTTACAATCCGCTGTGGCGCTTGATATGACTAAAATATTTCAACTTCCAAGACAGGATGCTGTTTATTAGCCAATCTTTCTTGATGTTCAGATCTTTCAAGATGTCAGTATTTCTCCTCTTCTTTGTCCAAGTAATTCTGAGAATCTTTCTATAGCATTTCAGCTCAAAAGCCCCTATTCCATGGTGAGTTTCTTGGGATAATAATGTGGTTGTTTCCTGTTGCTTTCCACATCCACATGGCTTTAGACTACGTCCTCAGCCTTCAGCAACCTTTTCGATTGCTAGGGCAAGTGAGTGCCCTGCTCTGTAATGCTCCTGCTAACAGCAGAGGGCACCCAGAGGTGTCCACTTATCCCGGCGGATACTCGGTCCCCATAGCTGCGCTGGCCACACCGCACTGTGTTTACCGTCCTCTACCATGTGGAGGTGCAGTTGGTTTTTTTCCTTCACTGAGTCTTGAGACCAGAATGGCATTTCCCAAAACTCTCCAGTACTTTCAGAGGACATAGACAACCAGGGAATAGAAAAAAAGCTATTTTTCTTTTATGTTTAAATGGAAATAAGGTTTAAAAAAAAAAAACAACAACAGCTAGCAGTCATGTCTGGTGGGTATAGATTCAAATCCACATCAAGATAAATTTTAAAAGATAGGCTTGGACTCCCAGGTAAATCTGCAAATGTTCTGTGGAAAAACGATGATCGATGTAAACATTGATCACATCACCTTTGAATTGGCAGTTATTCTATAAAATGTGGGGCTGGTACCATTTGCTTAATAAATAAGCCTTGGGATATGGAAACGGGTCTTTACCTTCTTCAGCAACCGGGGCCTAATTTATCAAAATTAATAAATACAAATCTGACAGAATTATCAGCATATTTGATATTATCATCAAGCCCTTGATCATAGATGATCATGCCTCTACTCAATTGCAAGCGCCTTGTACCTATTTATATACTTCTTCATCTTCTTCTTCGTGTTCATCGGCAGTAAGCTCTGGCAGCAGTTTCTGGTTGTTTGCCCACTTCTGTCTGGACTTAAACCTTGCTCCAGAACTTGATTGTCTGTTTTATGGATCTGCTTATTTGTAAAAAAAAAAAAAAAAAATGCTCTCTCACCTCTCAGGCAGATACACTTCAGCTTTGATGGAAACCCCTAGTTTGTGATCTTTTACAACATGCTTGTTATGAAGGCATTAGGCCACCTCTCCCTTCCTCTTCCCCTTTACACACACATACCGTGGGGCCCCAGAACACATATGGGAAAGTTTTCTACTATCTGTCCACGTCATGTTATATGACTGTTCAGGATCTTTTCTGTCTGCTTTTATCTTTTTTTTCAGAATCTTTTCTTTCTGCCTTTATCTTTTTTCAAAATCTGTTCTGTCTGCCTTTTATCTTTTTTTTTTCAGAATATTTTTTTTTCTACCTTTATCTTTTTTCAGAATATTTTCTTTCTGCCTTTATCTCTTTTTTTCAGAATCTTTTCTTTCTGCCTTTATCCACTTTTTTCAGAATCTTTTCTTTCTACCTTTATCTCCTTATTCAGAATCTTTTCTTTCTGGCTTTATCTATTTTTTTCAGAATCTTTTCTTTCTGCCTTTATCTTTTTTCAAAATCTTTTCTTTCTGCCTTTATCTGTTTTTTTTTTTTCAGAATATTTTCCATCTACCCTAATCTTTTTTCCGAATTTTTTCTTTCTGCCCTTACCTTTTTTTTTTTTTTAAGAATATTTTCTTTCTGCCTTTATCTCTTCTCTCATCTCCCCCTCCCCCCATTTGTTTTCTGGTGTCTCACTACTGGAGGGATGATGTCTACTTTCCTATTCCAAACATGTCAGTAAACAAGTGTAAAGTGTTCACAGTCTTAGATGGTGTTCTAAGGCCATGTGCACCTTGGTTATCTGTTTTCCAAGTCACAGTTGGCACAAAAACAGAGCACAGTGCACATCAAGTTTTTTTATTGTCCAAAGTTTTTGGTCTTATCTTTATTCATTTAAAATTAAACAATGAAAGGTCACTTTCAAAATCACTGGTGCATTGGATATATGTTGCTAGACTTATATTTTGTTTGATTAGTCAGCTCTTTGGGGGGGAATGTGATCATCATCATGCTATTTATTCATTACTTTTTCTAACATATGTTTATTATTGTTGTATTATGTTTTTCTTTAATGTAGTTTTAATTTTTTTATTATATCGGAACTAAAGAATTAGTCATGATTATCAGAAAATGGTTTCTATAGTACATTTTTTGGGGTCTCAGTATGTTACCCATGCATGCCAGGTTTTTTTAATTTAGATGTTAACTTTATTATTTTTTTTTTCAGTACCTTGGATTTGGTACTAGAAGACCTGCAGGTGAAGGTCGGCGTGCTGCATCTGAAGCTGATGCCAAGAGCCAGGCAGATAGTTCTGATACTGTACAGAATAACGAAGAAAAGGATGTCCTTTTGAGGCAGGTTAGTAGGCATCGAACCTGTTGATGACTTTTCATTTGATTAATGACCAGGATGCACCGGTGTTGAACCATACACGATGGTGCACCACGACCAGGGTTTATACTCTGGCCATTCTAGAATAGAGCTAGGAGACTGGTCAACAGAGATAGGGTCTCTTTTGAAGTGAGGGTTTATCTGCCTGAGGGACAAGGAAACAACAGTCTGCCTATAAGCCACATCTGTAAAGTTAATGTGCATGCAATATCTGGAAAAAGACAGTTGCCTTGGAAGAAAGACAAAAGTCCAGAAGTTGACGAACAGCCATAAATGTTTGCACAGCCAGTGAGCGTGAAGAAGAAAACAAATGTTTATCACCTTTTTTTTTTCTGGGGCAAGAAGGTGGAACTCACGCATTGCCATAAATATTTGTTATATATAAGATTATGACTTATAAATATAGACACCCGCACTCTCCCACACACACACACATATTCCTAGGGTATCTAATCATGATAGATAATATACATCAGTAGAATTTGATTTAAACAGTAGCAAGGCATTTGTTATACTGTGTTTTGATTTGCTTTATACAATAAATTTATGATTCCTGTGGCTAATAAACAGTAGTTCCAAATACTAGATTTTTCAATAAATATGGTCTGCTTGCGTATTTTTTAAAATAATAATAATAGTGCAAATGTGAATTTTGTAAAGTTGACCTTTAACATATGGTTCTGTATAAGTTATTTTGTTCTGAAAAATTATATGACTGTAGTGTAATTTTTTTTCTTTTGAAATATCATATGGGTGCTGTAAATTGTTCTTCTTGTCTAAAATAATGAATGGATGCTGTAAAATGTTTTTATTCTGAAATATTGCATAGCTGATGTAAGTTTGGTTATCTTTTGAAATTTGGTGTGATTCCTATACATTGTTTTTTTCCCTTATATATTTCCTCATAAATATTATAATGCTGTAAGTTTTTCTTTTAGTTGGGGTGGGGGGGGGGGGGATGTGTCTAAAATATAATGTGGATATTATAAGTTGTTATTGACCTATTGTTTTTTGTTTTGTTTTAATGCTAAATGATTATTTGTCTTGAAGGTTGAAGCTCGGGACCTCATAGAGTTTGGAATGATTCCAGAGTTTGTTGGCCGATTGCCAGTAGTGGTTCCATTCCACAGTCTGACTGAGGATATGCTGGTGAAGATCCTGGTGGAGCCTCGTAATGCTCTTGTGCCCCAGTATCAAGCTCTGTTTGCGATGGACAAGGTGGGTGGTTTAGTTCATGAACCCTCATGAACAGTGGTTCCCAGTTAACCCAGTTGTAGACCACTTTTATTTTTGAAAGTCTGCTACGGACCCCATACTTTTTATTGACATACTGAAAAACTTATTACAATTTATAAATATTATAATTAAAAAAGGGGTGCATTTTAATAAACATGATTGCATGATATGGGTAAAGCATGTCTATGCCACTTTTGAGGCCAAGATAGGAGACGTAACCAACTTCTCATGGGGACAGTTAGTAGAAATACCTTAGAGTGGCTGCTGCATCGGAGGATTGAATACGCATGGGAATACCCAATATGCAGTGATGTTGATTGTGATAACATAACATTTTAATGTTTAGGTTTTTTCCCCTGCAGAATAAAACAACACCACCCCCCCCCCCCCCTCTTTCTTTGATGTGTGGTGGGGGGGGGGGGAACCGCAGACCACCAAGTAGGAAACAGTGCTCTAGAAGAAGTCTGAACATTAGTCTGATGCATTTGGCATTGAGATTATTTGGGCCCTGTTAATGGCTTGCATTTCTCAGAATGAGGTGGATATAGAAACAGCTGTGTTGAAGAGCTCTTCTCCCATTTTTCAAGCTGACAAACCAGTGAAGTTTGTCAGAAATCTAGGTATCTGATCTCACTGCCAAAGAGAGTCTTCACCTTATAGTCCATGCTGTGTATGTTGGTAGTCATATCTCTCTTCATCCTTCTGTCTTTCATGTTTTCAGTCATTTTTGATACAGATGATCTTCTATGTCATGATGTCAGACTGTGCAGCATATTCTCTTTCTGTCTCCTTCTGACCTTCTTTCCACCTGATTCCCACGTCATAATATATTCCCATATTCTTCTTCTCATTCATCATCATCATCATCATCATCATGTAGCAGGTCCTTTGCAGAACGTCGCCCTCATCACAGTCTGCCTGAAGGAAACTCAGTCTCTCGCCACCTCTCCCACCTTGTTTACTTTTATATTCAAAGAGTCACTTATATCCTGTGCCCATCTTCCTGTTGGTCGGCCCCTGCCCTGCCTTTCTGGTACCATGCCTTCTGCTATTATTTTTTTCAAGTCCTCCGTGGCTTTTGATTATGTGACAAAAAAAATGCATATTGTGTTTTTCTGATGTGAGTAATCTTCTTCTCTCATGACATCTTCATTATTCTTTTTCTGTCCATGGCGTTCTGATCAGTCATACTCGGGATATTGATGTAATGTTATTAGAGAGCAACAGTATACATGAGCAAATGGTCAGCCCTATGTGGTAGACACCTTAACCTTTCAGACCTTCCTTTCACCCTACACCCACAAAATGCAGTGAATTTCACCAAATGTTCTTAGCCTTAAAAAAAAAAGGTACATAATTTCTTCTTCTTTTATTCCTTCATCTGAGTGATGTAATTTCGTCTTGTCTGTTTACAGCAAAGCTGTGATATTTGCATTTTTCAGTCGGCACATCTGACTTGATTGAGCATTTGTTGACCAGGCTAACTTCCCAGAGTATATAATTTAATAACTGTGATTACTATATAAATTTACCACTTTTTAATGCAACATAGATCTAATTCAGAAATATTGTGACCATCAAAAAGTAATTGATCATCCTTTGGGGAATTTTTGTATGTGAGTGTGGCTTTGGGGGGGTGGGGGGGGGGGGTGGCCTTAAGCTTTATGATTTAAGGCCACCTGGATAGCTAGCACAGTCACCACAAACTGTTAGGATTTTATATTTACCCCAGCAACATTTTTAAAGTCATATTTCCAAAGATTAAAACTCCATCCTGCTACAGTATAGTCAGGCATTCTGACAATTAGGCTAGCTGCTGCTCATTCAAATATAACATCCTAAATAAAATACAGCTACTGGCATTAGCATATTTATTTCACTAGGATTAAATTTTGTGGGAATTCATTCTTTTTACATACCTATTGTTTTAAATTACCTTGTCACAAACCTCTGGTATGACCTTGCCGGTCCGTGGCTCGCTAACTAGGCCTATGACAGACAGACTAACCTACAACACACACTGAACCCGAACGCACACAGAGCACACACGACAATCTTTATTGGAAGTACAGGTAATACATAGACAGTTGACTTCCCGCCGTGTGGCCACCTATTGCCTGGACCCTCTGGCTGAACGGGCTTTACAATCGCCCCGTCCCCAGTACGTGCGACAGGCAATATTCTGGTGTACAAACCACAATCCGGCAGGATACGCTCTCTTCTATCGCCACGCTGACCCAACCAAACTGTCACAGTCTCTGTCTTAGTGCAGGGTCAGAGTGTCCAGGTTAGCCACTCTCTCACAGCACATATACATAAATACTCTACACAAGAACTATCCTATCCTAACACAAAACTGTACATAAACTATCCAGTCACTAACAGAAATATATCCTAACTTTAATACTATAACATAAACTATCCAGTCACTAACAGCTATATCCTAACTCTAATACTATAACACAACTGTCTTGCTAAACGTCCTCTCTTCCTGACCGACGCACACCGAATGTCCTTCTTCCTTCTACCTCGTGTCTCTTGACCCCGTTCACCAGCTCAGTCCCAAAAGCAGTCATCGTGTTACTACAACACAGTTCAGTCTTTCTTGCTTTATCCTGAGCGCTGGTTTCGCCGTGCGATCACAGAACGGACTTGACCAGTCACGGCCCTGACCTTTGTGTCAACCCTGGGGTGTCACGTCAACACCCCCACCTACGGTGTGGTACACTGACTGTACTTGATAGGGTTGTGACATTCACCCTTCCTCTGAACTGATACTTCCTGACGAAGTCAAGTATCAGCAAAGCATGGCCTGCCATCATGTACAGTCATCTTTTTAAATTTTATCGTCAACATTTAGTTACCTAAAAAAAAAAATAATAAGTCATGTACTTTTGGGTCAATCACCTAAGGACAAACTATCTGGCACATATTTAATGGGTATATACATTCAATGGGTAAGCCCCTCCCTAATGGGTAGAAATGGTATCAGCCCTTGACACAAACACGTCACTACTCATTACACCTTCAATTCATATGGGTAATGATATAAATAATAATTTGGGTGGACACTCAAATCGTCCGGGACCCAATTACACCTTACTTCACTTACTGTGCAAGTAAGACGCCACTGTATACACTCCCAAGCCGTTTAACCAACGACACCGTGATTTATAACAGTGGGCGTCATGGACTGTCTCCACAAGACTTGTCCATGGTTGTGAAAAGGAGTCATGACCTGACTCCCCGACCTACAGTCGTATAATGTGTCCGCGAATCCGCAGTACCTGCCAAGACACAAATCACCCCACATGACCCACAGTGCAAAATAGGCAGTAAACAAATCTGTGGCCAGTTGGACACACTCCCATCCTCCAAGGATAGTGCTACTCCTCAAATGTAGTCCCAATATATGCGATACTAGTTACACCATCATTAACTCTCCATGTGAGTGCCCTTGTAAAAGTACAATCTAAATTTCATTTAAATTGTCCATCATCAATTTTAGAAAGCAAAATAAACAATTTAAAGAGAAAAAACAAAAATTTAAAGGAATTTCATTGTTACTGCTAAACTAACTTGTCAGTTATTTTAAAGTCTACTAGTTTACAAAACTGTCTACCTATAATGCATTATTGTCTAACATATACTTTACATTTATATTTCCTGCACATAAGACACTCAGTTAATATTAAACTCATTGAAACTTTTTATAAAAGTAATGGATTTCAGATTTGGTTTCAAAAACCGAAGAATATTATTATTGCAATTTGAGAATTTTAAAACAAAAGTAATTGCAAATCAAACAATTAACATTACTTATGTGATCTAGCCAAAAATCTTTAGCAAAGAAAAGAAATGATAGTATATTTGTAAAATCCAAATGGATTGTCACACAAATAATTTTACACTGAAAATAAATAAGCAAAATACATACATAATAATTTCACAAACAAAAATCATTACACTATATTCATTCCAACAAAACAATAAAAATTACAAATCGAAATAAATAAGCAAAATATACATGAAATCATTTTCAAACTCAAAATTATTTTCCTTTTATAAATACCACCTCAATAGTTACAAATCAAAATAAATAAGAAAAATAAATACCGATGAATTACTCATCATAGATACCAACACAATAATTACAAATCAAAATAAATAAGAAAAATAAATTTAGATAAATTACTCATCCTAGATATCAACACAAAAGTTACAAATCAAAATAAATAAGAAAAATAAATACCGATGAATTACTCATCATAGATACCAACACAATAATTACAAATCAAAATAAATAAGAAAAATAAATTTAGATAAATTACTCATCATAGATATCAACACAAAAGTTACAAATCAAAATAAATAAGAAAAATACACAAATAAAAATTGTGCGAATGAAATTGAATGAATAAACTTAATTCAAAACCAAATAATATACATGAAACAAACATATAAAACATATAGCACATACAGAACATATAAAACATATATAATCCATACAACATATATTATATTAAAGATGAACATAATAAGATTAACTTATAATATGACAATTACAACATAGACTTCTATTCTATACATTCATTCCCTTTTATTCCAATTACATACATCACATTTTCCATTCTGCTGAAGTCCTTAGAATGATCATCACCTCTATCTTCCTGTTGGGTAATCTTTTACGATTGTTCAGTTCACTGGTTTTAGGCTAGAACAGTACTTGTATACACTGCTACTTGACAACTGAGTCTATGAAACTTGGTGTAGACTTCCGTTATGAGACAATTTCTAGTCATTCAGGAAGGCATGAATATATGAAGACAATGTCTTTTCACACAGTCTTTAAATTTCTGAAGTTACCAGACTGTCAGTTTCAGGATAGAACTAGGCAATCAATAGTTTTACAGCCGGCTTAATAAGTCAGCCAGGTTGTTGCTGTTGCCCTTGATGTGTGTAGTTGTGACTTGGAAATCTTG